CTATTATTGAGCCATATTAGCCTCTAGTGTGTAGGCCATTAAAATTTTAGTTGGTTATATTATTATACAACCTAAGAGAACCTAAACCCTTGACTTGCTGGCATGAAAGAAAACTATATGTAGATATGTCAGAAGTCTCCACACTATGATAATTCAAGACTGTTCAGTAAAGGCATGAGCAAATCATTGAAGGGTGACATGATAACTCAGGTGCTTTTTCATGGTAATTGCCTGTTGTCTGTATCTATGGATATGTGCTCTCTGCTGTTCCTGGCAATGTTTTAAATTCTGGAAAGATAAAGAAAGTGAAGATATGAATGGAGTGATACTGACCCTATCATAATTACAGTAAAGAGAGCTATGATCATTTCAGTGGCATCAGTGATCATTACATTGAGATGACAACTTACAGTATACAATTATCATTTACAATGGAATTTAGAACAATTTTAACAGCTGATACTAAATGATTTTTAGGGTAGCTAGAGTTAAGAAATGGAAACGAATTGTCACCAAAACAATGCTTATCACAGTATCTATAGCTCAGTAATTCACTAGTGGGTTTGTTTATCACAGAGCCACATTTTGCTCTGTAGAGAATACAATCTCTTGAATGTAGGTAAAGGTACATTTGTGTATTCTGAGCAGTGATGAGTACTGAGTGATCTGCCCTCTCCCAGCCATTGCCGACCTCGTACTTCCTATTGGTACAGCTTCACTTCTCTAGTACTTGAGGGTTCTGAGCACTTCCCAGCTTCCCCAAGCCTTTCAGGCCCTGGTTTGGATGCTTCTCGCTAATTTGTTACATCATCCTTCCAGCTTCAGTCTGGCTGTCTCTACCTGGAATCTCTCTTTCCTCCCTACTTGCTGTTCCTTGTCTTTGCATTATATTAGCTTCTTCCTTGCCTTGGGGAATTCACTGTATTATTTCAAATTTTACAAGATGCTTAAATTTTTATTTCTTGAAAATTTCCTATAAGAATACTGTATTGGCATAACACCTCAGGGTCTCCCCTTTAACTTGCCCCATGAGTTTCCTACTGTCTCAAATTTATGACTCTTCTTTTTTTTAATATTATTACCTATATGTATATGTAACAATAATTATTGTTATATTATATATATATATATCCTACTAAGTCCATTTAGTGTTGCTTGTATATACATGTGTTTTGGGCATGTACAAAATTACTGTGTTGTTTACTCTTTTCATTGCTGTAACAAAAAAAAATCCTGATATAAAAGATACTTAAGGAAGGAAAGCTTCATTCTGTCTTTCAGGTCAAGGGGATACAATCCACCATAGCAGGGAAGGCAGTGAGGCGCCACACTGTGTTGCAACCTGGAAGAACAGAGTGGACAGGAAGTGAGGCTGGGCTCTAACACGTCAAAGCTATCCCTAGTGACCCACTCCCTTCAACAAGGATCAATCTTCTAAAGGTTCTAGAAGCTTCCAAAACCTGTGTTACTAATTTGGGACCAAGTATTAAACCATACAAGTTATAGATATAATCAAATCATAATAGTCGGACCATGGTCATCTCAAGATCCAAAATTTGAACAACATAGCAACAGTCTTAACTCTCCCAAAACTGTTTAAAAATCCAAAGTTTTATTCTGAGACTTAAAGCAAACTCTTAGCTGTATCCCTTCAAGATGGAAACAAAGCAAACCAAAGTCATGTACTTACAGTATACAGTGTCGTAAACCAAACATTCCTATTCTCAAAGAGACCAAAGAAGATCCAAACTCAGCAGGGCAAACACCAAATGCTGCATCTCCATGTCCAGCCTCCAGGGCTTGTGATAGAATCATCTGGGCTCCAACAGACTTAGGTATTTCTATCATTCCAGCCTACTACATAAAGCACAAACACAGTCTTTCTGGGGGGTTGGTTCCACTCATGCCTTTAGTTTTCATTGACAGATATGTTTTTATCCTGCTATATTTTATGTCCATGGGCTCAAATGCAACTTAGATTTAACCTTCACAACTTCATATCATGGCCTCTACGGTCTTCTGTACAGGGACTCAAACTCTGACATGTATTGCCTGGAATCGGTGACCTACAGGACCTTGTCACATGCCTGCAGGACTGTTTTACTCTTGCCTCTTCCATACCTGTAAAACTGGTACCATATGGACGGTCCTACTAAGTTCTATAGTCAGGTCAAGATGCAGTCTGACTTTCGGGTCCCAGTCGCATCAGCTTCCACGTGCTGATCCTGGGGAAACTTGTACATAGTTGTTTTGGCAGCAGGGAACCCCTCTGGTGGCACCTTCAGTTTAGGCTTTTCTGTGCAGGCTTTGGTGGGTGGAGTTGGGCATGGGCAGAAGCAGAATATGAGGTTTCTGGCCAATGGTCATGATGGCTTTAGCAAACTCAAGCTGCTTTCTCTTCACCAGCCTTGTCTACAACTTTGTCTGTGCCTCCCTTCCCACAACACTGCACAGTTTTCATTGCTGTTCCACTTGTTATTCTCTTGCTCTTGGATAACTGTAGTAAGCAGTAACCATATAAAACAGCCTGCGTTCTATTCTGGTTAGAGGTCTCCTTCACCAAACACACTGGTCCTTTAGTTTTGAATTCAGCCTGACTTAAGCTCTCGGGATTTTGGCAGAAGTCATCCAGATTCTTTATGAGACCATAATGTGCCTGACTTTTATCCCTGTTCTCAATAGTCTTCTCTTTCTCCTTTGGAGTAACACGAACTGTTCACATTACTGCCAGCACTCTGAAAGTCTGATTTTCTCACCGGGATGGTCATTAAGCTCTGCTTACTAGGGATTTTCTGGACTGAAGTTCCGATTTTCCCACAAGCCCCTACAAGCCACATCCAAGGCCTCAGAGCCACATGCTCTCATATATGTCACCAACCAGCCCACTCCTCAGTACCAACTTTCTTAATTTTCTCATTGCTCTATTTAGAAATAACTGACATAACAAAGAAGGAATGGCTTCATTGGCTGGCAGTTTGAGGGGATACAGTCACAGTGGCAAGACTCGTTGGTGACTGGTCACTGCATGGCAGCCTAGAAGTGGAAAACAGACAGAAGTCAGATCAGCCTGTTAAACCTCAAAGCCTTCCCACCCCCCGTTGTCTACCTTCCCCATCGAAAGCTGTGCCTCCTGAAGGTTCCACAGCTTCCCCAAACAGTGCCACCAGCCTGAAGGCAAATGTTCGGTATTCCAACATACAAGCTTGTCAGGGATGTTTTAAACATATTTTAAGTTTTGTTTACATTTGTTTCTCTCCCCCCTTGTGTGTGTGTGTGTGTGTGTGTGTGTTGCTGTGTCTGTGTGGCTGTGCATGCCAAGTATGCATGTGGAAGTCAGTTTGTTCTCTCCACCAGGAGGATTCCAGGCATTGAACCCAGGTCTCCTGCTTTGGTGAACAAGTGCCTTCACCTACAGAGTCAGACCACAACAGCTATGCAACTTCCTGCTTCTTATCTGTCTTACCTGTGAAGTAGAAAGTATCGTTTTTATTTCAAAGAGCTGTTATGAGATTGAAATGAGTTACAGGTGAATGAACATGTGTGAACGGTTTCTGACCTCTATGCTTGAGGGATTCCCTATCCCAGTGGCCAGAATGTTGCCCTTAAAGGTGGTGACTGTTTAGCTATCCACTGATATTGTTTGCTCTTAGGTTCTTGCTTTGATTCATCAGTGAAACTCTTCCAGAGCTCAGCTGATTCTTTTTGAGACAGGGTCTTTTATCGGGACTGTGGTCCACCAGTTGATGTCCTCCTGGCTCTGCCTCCTTAGAGTGGGATCACGGGCGTGCATCACTGTGTCTGACTGCTTGCCTGGCTGCTGGGAGTGCACAGTCAGCATAACACGAACTTTACCAACTGTACCATCTTCTAGCCCCCATCCTGGGCACTTTTTAAAATGCATTATGAAGCTGCCCTATTTCAAAGTTATGAAAGAGTTCTCTCAATTTCTACTCCAGTGCTTTATGGTTTTACTTCAGGAGTTTACACCATCCATTCTTTGGTATTTGCTTTGTGGGACGGATTCAAATTTCTCCTTTCTAGTTGTCTGTGTACTTGCTGCAACGCCACTAATTCAATGGCTTGCCTTTCCCGTTGATTCAGCATGCTGCATGCATTGGAAGGAAGGTCTGTACGACGTAGTATGTGAGTGTCTAGAATATAGTGCTCTGTTTCTGTGCTTAGGAAGGACAGGATATTATATTCAATCATGGAAGTAGTGGTTAAATTTGGGAGAATTCATTCAATTTTGGTCATCCTATGGGAGCTGAACTCTCAACTTGTGGCAGTGGGCATGACGTAAGAAGAGAAAGTCTTATCCTTCAGTTCTCCCAAGGTTTGTTCTTTGTTTGTTTTAGCAATCTGGAAATATGTTAGCCATTTCATGAAGAATGAATCATTGCAGAAACAACAGTTTTGAACAAAAACCAAGTGGATTTAGAGATGTTAAGGTTGAGAATGCGATCCAAGTACAAATATTAATAGCGAGTTTGATGTTGGATTCTAGAGTTCAGAAAGTAGGTCCCTCTTTATAAAAACTCTTCCTCACATCTTGTTTCTCCTAAGCGAGTTCTGAGTTCCCATCGCCAGGCCCATCTTATCTGCTCTGACCTTCATCTACTTCCAAAAGTCTCTCCCTGCAATGCCTTCCATGGATCAAAGGAGCGACGTGTGACTTTTGTAAGAGATTCTAGATTTCCTTTTGAGAGCTTGAATATCCGCTGTCTCAGCCGAATCAGGGAAGTCTGTAGTTCGGCGACTTCATTCTGAAGAGTGTGGACAGAAGTACAAGCCGCAGAGAGGAAACTTGGGTCCAGGTGATAACACTTAGTGAGTGGGTTCCGCTGTTTTGTTCCTGGGATCTCAGTTCGTCCCACCGGGACTTAGGGGTGCTGCTAGGTAAGAGCCCTGTGCGCCTGAGCTGCTGTTTTGTCCGGCGGCACAATGTGAGTTCGCTACACGCTGACTGTTGATGAACACTAATGTCATTCTTTCTGTTCCAGATGGGAACGTTCAGAGCGCATGATGGAGAATATTTCCTAGAGCCAGTCATGGAAGCCGATGGGCGTGAGCATGAAGATGACCACAACAAGCCACATTTGATATACAGGCAAGAACTAAACAGGAACTCCTTGGCACGCTCTCATGAACCCTGTGAAGTCTCAGGTAAACCTTGAAGGGAAACCAATTGGCTAAACTGTGATGCTACGTAAAAATTTTATTGGCTATCACCTGTATTTTTAATTGACAAAATTGTATACACCATTTATTACATATGAAGAATATATACATTATGGATTTGGTTCTGTGGTTAAAAACATCTGCTATTAAAATTTTTAAGGCTGCACCCCCTTTCATCAACACTGTCTCTCTGTTGCACAGTAGAGCTTTTGAGCTTATTCTAGGTACAGGTTAAGCACCCTTTGACCGACATCTCCCCAAACCACCAGTCCTGCTTTTCATAGCTACCACCCTACCTCTTACGTGTGTAAGTCCAATTGTTAAATTACGTACACCCGTGAGATGTGGCTTTTCTTAAACGGTATTTTCAAAAAGATGATTTTTTTCCTATAAAGGATCCATTAGAAATTATCCATTTAAGGTATTTTTGTAGTAAATTAAAGGCCCAGTATATAGAACTTAGGGTGGACAATCGTAGGCCATTTTTACTTCAGTCTGCCAGTTACAGAAAGTTGATCAAGCCGATTTTCTTGGTGGAATCTTACTCCCAGTCCCACACTATGGCAGCCTACAGGATTCCTACAGGATTCCAACTCTCTTTAGTAGAAGCATGTCATTCACAGGTTTCTGTGACCAGCATGCAATTCAGCCCTGCTTCTCGGATGCATCTATTTTGGTGTTGTCATGGCAGTTTCTCCATTTTCATGCTGTAAAATATTTAAGAGCTTGTTATGGCACCTGTATCTGTTTTCCTAGTGACATGTTGGGTCATTTTCAGGTTTTTTTTTAAAAGTATTTTATTTATTTATTTTATGTATACGAATGGTCTATCTTCATTTACACCCACATAACAGAAGACGGTATTAAAGGGTTGTGAGCCACCATGCTGTTTCTGGGAATTGTACTCAGGACCTCTGAAAGAGCAGACAGTGCTCTTAACCGCTGAGCAATCTCTCCAGCTATTTTCAGGTTTTTGATATGAGAAGCAATGGTTCCCCATTCTCTTTGTCTGAGAGTTTTTCCAGGGAATGCAGAGATGCTGGATAATCTCTCTCTCTCTGTCGCTTTGCAAAATTGTTTTCAGATTTTTGTTTTTAGATCCAGTTATATGTTAGAGTTGTATTTTCATCCTCTTTTTCTTTTAAAATTCAGACTACTTAATATTTATATTAAGGAATCATGGAATCATGGAATTTTATGCAGAATAAATCTATTACTGGTAAAATATTTTACATGTACTTATACAGAAGTTAGTTTTGGGTCCACGAATATGCATGAGTCTTCATTATTCACACAATGACATAAAAACCACAGAGAAAAGGCAACTGCACATATCTTAAAATACAAAGTCAAGATAAAAGAGAGGGATTAGAGATTAGAGATGGCTCAGAGGTTAAGAGCACTGTCTGCTCTTCCAGAAGTCCTGAATTCAATTCCCAGCAACTACGTGGTGGCTCCCAACCATCTATAATAATGGAACCTGATCCCCATTTCTGCAGACAGACATGCAGACAGAGCACTCATATGTATAAATATGTTTTTTAAAAGCAAATTAAGTAAAATCTTTGAAAGAGAAAAGTGGGATTAGGAAGGATTTGCTTGAGGTTGTAGGTGATTGTAAACCATGGCTCCAAATGCTGTGATGCGGTCCACAGTGGCCTGTGATGATGTGGGGGCCTCGGTTGGTTTTCCCTGGGAATTCACTTCTTAATTAACCTTTGCTGTTCGAGGATTGCTACTTGGCATGGCTCTCACTGCAGCTAAGGCTGTACTGTAAATCTACCGACACAGCAGATGCTCTTCTTATGCTTCTAATAGGAGCATAAGGGTTTCATTTTTATGGCTTCAAAGAGAACACAAATGGCTATGCAGAGCTTCACAATGGGACGCTATAGAAGGCAGCTCACGCCCGATCTGATTGACTATTCAGGAGCAGCTTGTTTAATGATGTGCGGCTTTGTAAGAAGAAAACCACCAAGAGACGTTCTGAAAGCATAATGTGTCAGAGTGATACGCAGGCTTTCATATTCATGCTCAGCATTCATTCAGCAGGAAAATGCTCCAAAAAAGCCACATGCTTTGCTTTAAAAGATGTTTTTTATACTAAAGACATATGATAAGAATTACAAATGAAAAACAACCAGAAAAGTGGGATTTAGCTTATATTAATTACATATGATATTAATGTACATAGAATAATATAGTTTATCAGTGTATATATAATTAATATATGTACAAATAGCGATCCAATATTTATCAAAACATAACTGTAGGATCTATTTTCATGAATGTGTTCTTCTCATTTTAATTCTAACTAATATGTACGTTTTTAGTTGTTAATAATGACAATTAGTGACCTAATACATTAGCTACTAATTATCATTTCATTTGTAAAAGTGAATATTTGTGAATATAATTAGTGAAATGTTATACAAGGTGTTTTTTTTTCTCTTTTCCATCATTGTTCATAAATTCTTGCAGTAGCCTTCCCTATTTCAACAGCTGAATCTTCAAGAGACTATCTTAAAGAGGTGAGAGCCACAGGTTTAGTTCATGGTCTGTCATAGTTAAAAAGGAAAGTGACTTCCTTTCTGAATGGTTTTGGGTCATTTCAACTCTAGTCTTGGTGAATTAGATTAAATTGTTTCCAAGGTCAGAGTTCACTGTGTGCCCTGAGGCCATATAAATGTTGGCTATTGCCAGCCATTCTGGATACCAGGATCTCACATCAGTTATGGCTTAGGTACAATCCTGTGGACTCAGGGATGCTAGCAAAAGATCTGTAAAGGAGAACGGACATCAAACAAAAGCCCTACAAATGCCAACAGGAAAACTAAACAAAAGAAGCCAGGCACGGTGGCATATACCTTTAGTCCCAGCACTCTGTGAGGCTGAGGCAGATGGATCTCTGTGAGTTCCAGGCCAGCCTGGTCTACAAAGTGAGTCCAGGACAAGAAGCCTGGGAGTGTTCACTGAGATGAAACAAGACTTCAGAGCTTCACCATACATCTGTTAGTGCACATTGGCAGTGGGCAGGTGGGATCCTGTGAGCCTTGCCCACGTTCTCAGGTCACCTTACTTCTCTGCGTTGTGGAGGAGACTCATAAGGCATTTGTTGAGAGGAAGAAGGATGAAAACAGTGAAGAGTGACACGACTTTTAATTGAGCTTTTCTAAATCTGTCTATTTCCCATTGTCTTTGAGTCTTTAATATTACAACATAGATATGAATTGGTTTGAGCTGGCCTGCAGATCAGAGGAAAAGAATGTTCCTTGGGAAACCCGACATGTCTGAAGAGTAGCCACTCACTGAGCCTGGAGCTCGCCAGCTCTGGCTGGTTTATCTAGCCAGCTTGGCCAATGATCCAGTCTCTGCTCCTTTGGTTGTTATAGGGTAAACTCCTCCTGTTGGTTGCTGCGAAGTCTGGCATCTCCTGGCCCACGTGGACTTGCTTGGGTCCATGTGTTTATCAGTTTTTGGAGGAAGAGGAATTGTGGCTCAGAACCTGCCTTTGAAATCCTTGACACACCTGCTCTTCTATTCTGTTCAGAACACTTTTCAGTCTTTGCTTTAGCTCCGACTGCTTTCTGTTCTGACATTTGTATTCAGTTATTCACTCAGCAGCCTGGTTGACCTGAGTACCATCCTTTCTTATGTCCACTTATCCTATTGCAATAGAGCTCTGTCTCTCTCCTTTGCTGCCTTGCATTTTGTCTTGTTTTAGACTTAGTCATCATTTAAAAAAATTAAATATTTTCTTCAAATATTTTTTTCCACAGAAACATATTACATTAAATTAAATTAAAAACGTGACAATGTTTTTCTTTAAACATGAGCCAGTTAAATAAATACCTGGGTGCTCTTGACATATAGACATAAAATTGTAATTTGTCATTAAATTTTGCATCTCATACTAACTCTGACTTACAGAGACGGGTTATTGCAAGTTGATAGTCAACTCTTTCATAATTTATGTCTACTTGTTCTCTTATCATTAGTTTGTGTACCTGGCATGATTTCTACAAGCTTATGATGTGAGATTTAGATATTCTCCCAGGCAAGAGAATATCTCACCAGTTAGTGCACAGCTGTCTTGAATTCTTTTTTTTTTTTATTTAAATCTTTTTTTTATTTTTTATTAATTACACTTTATTCATTTTGTATCCCCCCATAAGCCCCTCCCTCCTCCCCTTTCTGCATGCATGCCACTCCCCAAGTCCACTGATAGGGGAGGTCCTCCTCTCCTTCTTTCTGATCTTAGTCTATCAGTTCTCATCAAAAGTGGCTGCATTGTCCTCTACTGTGGCCTGGTAAGGCTGCTCCCCCCCAGGGGGAAGTGATCAAAGAGCAGGCCAATCAGATTATGTCAGAGGCAGTCCCTCTTCCCATTACTATGTAACCCACTTGGACACTGAACTGCCATGGGCTACACCTGTGCAGGGGTTCCAGGTCATCTCCACAAATAGTCCTTGGTTGGAGTAGGAGTCTCTGGGAAGTTCCCTGTGTTCAAATTATCTTGTTCTGTTGCTCTGCTTGTGGAGTTCCCGTTCCCTCCAGCTCTTACTATTTCCCACTTCTTACATAAAATTCCATTCACTCTGCCCATCAGTTGGCCATCAGGCTCAGCATCTGCTTTGACAGTCTATACTGCAGAAGCTTTCAGAGGCCCTCTGTGGCAGGTTTCAAGGTGGTTTCCTGTTTTCTTCTGGCTTTCAGGGGCCCTCTGTAGCGGGTTCCGAGGTTGTTTCCTATTTTCGTTTTCTTCTGATGTACATCCTCTTTGCCTTTCAGGATGGGGATTGAACATTTTAGTTAGGGTCCTCTCTTTTGCTTAGTTTGTTTAGATGTACAGCTTTTAGTGGGTTTATTCTATATTGTATGTTTATATGAGTGAGTATATACCGTGAGTGTCTTTTTGCTTCTGGGTCAACTCACTCAGGATGATCCTTTCCAGGTCCCACCATTTACCTGCAAATTTCATGATT